ACCCTAAACCCTAAACCCTAACCCTGCACCCTAAACTGCAAACCCTAAACGCTACCCCTAAACCCTGAACCCTAAATCTTGCCTTCGGGATGTTGAGCTGTAGGCGTCCGCGTCGAAAAGCTAAGCGCACTCTGAGAGAATGAGGGTTTAGGGTTTAGGGTGTAGGGTTTAGGGTTTAGGGTTTAGGGTTTAGGGTTTAGGGTTTAGGGTTCCCATGGAAAGGAGCCCCCGCTGCAGTTTCCCCTAGCCGTTTTAGGTTCAAGGATGTGTCGTGTCAAACCCTAAGCCCGAAACCTTAACCCCAAACGCCAAGTCCTAGCCCTACACCCTAAACCCTACACCCTAATACCTAAACCCTAAACCCTAAACCCTGGTTCCAGGGCCCGACGAAACCGAATTCAACTCGAGTCCCGCAGGGCCCAGCTACTTCGACAGCACATGGGGGCGAGTTTAGGGTTCAGGGTTTAGGGTTTAGGGTTCAGGGTTTAGGGTTTAGGGTTTAGGGTCCCATGAGACTCTTTTGACATAAGACTCTTTGGCGTTCGGAGTTCAGCTGTTTCTCGTAGGCTCCAGATGGTGAGAGATGCTTGGCTAAAGGTCTTACAGCTCGCCCAGCTGCTGTTTTTTTGCAGTAATGTTATATAATGATTTTTTTCAATTCCTATATTGCCCTTATAAGAAGGAGCATGTTTCAACTTTCTGGGTGGTTCTTAAGCAAGTAGTTGAGATGGCTAAAGTGCAACTCAGCGTGTAGGATTATTTTGGGTCGAGGATTGCAATGTCTGTTTCAGCCCTTTAACGCCATCGAGTTTAAGGACTCATGGACTCAGGACGTTCTAGAGTCTCACAGGGAATCTAAACCCCAAACTCCATACCCCAAACCCTAAACCCTAAGCCCCAAACCCCAAACCCGAAACCCTATAGCCCTTCAATGAACCCAAAAATGGGATCACACGCCCCAGGCTACTTTCGTCCTTATCAAGTACAAGAACCTCGGGGGTTACCCTGCCCAAACTCTACACGCGGTTGACCCTTCTGTTACAGTCCAAAGCAACGTAGTAAACCCTAAAGCCTGATCCCTAAGCCCAGCCCCCCCCCGTTGTCTGCGGGGTCTCACCCGCGCCCACCCAGCCTGCTGTAACGGCGCCTCAGCCAGAGCCAGACCGAGCTGACCCCGCCCTGGGAGGCCACAATGCCCAGGATGCAAGGCCGCACCCAAGAGCTGCAAGAGATGCAGCAAAGTGCAGCTGCCCGCCGCAGTGCTCGAGCCCAGCCCAACGTCGCTTGAGGACTGGATCTTCCTGGAGCCTACAAGGAGGGGCACCCTTACTATACTAACTGTAGTTGAGGGGCTTATAACCTAAGTTAGGATCCTTATAACCCAATTTAGGGTCCTTAGAGCTCTACTTATGAACGGAGCCAGCTCTTGCCCAGCCTCCTCTTCGAGACAAGGCCCAGGTGCCTGCCCTCATAGCAAGGAATCCCAGCTAAACCCTAAACCCTAAGCCCTAAATCCTAAACCCTAAACCCTAAACCCTAAACCCCAACTTTCAGGTTTCTGGGCCTCCTCATACAACTCAGCAAGGGGAAAGGGCCGCCTTTTTAGAAAGATGGCTGCTGGGCCACCTAATGACCTTGCGGTTCAACCGAATGCTTGGACGTCGACCCAACATCCTCAACCCTGTAGTTGTCACGGGTTTAGGGTTTAGGGTGTAGGGTTTAGGGTTTAGGGTATAGGGTTTAGGGTTCAGGATTTAGGGTTTAGGATTTAGGGTTTCGGGTTTAGGGTTTAGGAGTTAGGGTTTAGGGTTTAGGCTTTAGGGTTTAGACCCTCAACCCAACCCCAGGCGGCGGTCTCAGAACTTAGGGGGTACCTTTTTGGGGTCCTTATTTTAAGGGAATCCTCCTATCCTTAGTAGCTGAATGAGTACACTGTACACTTTTTGGGATACTATAACCCCCTATAGAACTGAAAGTGTACACTTTTTTGGGGCTTATGAACTCAGCAACTAAGTATCTGGGGGTCTATATACTATTTTCGTGAGCCCCCAAGTTAGACCTTCAACCTAGACCCCGAGAAATCGCCGAGGAAGAAAGGCAAGACATTCCGAGCAGGGTGCATCGAACAACCCAGGATGGTGTTTGACCTGTGAGGCCGTGGCGGAGGGTTTCGGGCTCAAGGTTCAGGGTTTTTGAGTTTAGGGTTTAGGGTGTAGGGTTTAGGGTTTAGGGTCTTCATGGTTGGAGGATTCAGGGCTTAAGGGTTTAGGGTCCTATAATTGTTTAAGGATTTAGGCGTTAAGGGCTTCGGGTCTAAACAGGGTTCAGGAGGGGTCAAAACTCAGGGTGTTGAAGGGCGGGGCTTACGCGGGGGCCTCAAGTCAGGGTGCAAGGATTCCCATGCCCGCTGGTGATATGGAGTTTCCGAAAGCGCTACTACTTGCTTAAGGGCACCCAAAAAGTAAAAAATGTTCGTCCTTAAATTAGGTTTTATTTATTTGTTTTTTTTGTGTTTTTTTTTCGGGGGGGGGGGGGCTTCTGAAGCAAATCGTAGATTTTGGGTTTCCTTTTGGGTTGCCTGGGTGCCCCGCTCGTAAGGACTCTACTTTTTGGTTGCAGATTGCGGACCCCTGTTTTGGGAAATGCAAACCCTAAACCCTAAACCCTAAACCCTAAACCCTAAACCATAGAGCCTTCCGGATTCAGCTGCTTTTTGAGGCTGGTTTTGTTGTAGCCCTAAAGACTAAACCCTAGACCCTACAGCGCAAACAAGCTTATTTTTGGGAATTCAGGGCTTTGGGTGTAGGGCTCGAAGAAAACCCAAGCCCGAAACCCTATTCGCCCTAATCAAGGGCACCCAGTACTCAGGGGTTCCCCTACTAACCCCCTCTAACCCCCCCCCCCCCTCCCTAGGTTCCCCCCTCAAATAACCTGAATTAGGCTTAATTATCCCTAAATAGCCTAACCCCCTCTATACTACCCCCCCCCCCCCCTAGATCCCCCCTTATCTAACCTTAATTCGGCTTAATTATCCCCTAAATAGCCTTAATTATGGGGAGAACCAGAGGGGGGGAAGTAGGGGAACCCATGAAGTGTTGAGGGTTTAGGATTTAGGGTTTCGGGTTTAGCTCTAAACATCTGCCTCAGGAGGTGTTTAGATTTGTAGGTGTCACACAACATGTTTCACAATGAGTGAGCATACACATACGACATTGGCTCAAGCCGTCAAAAGTGATTGCACCTGCAGTGTTAGTTCTGCCTTAAACTCCGTTCATGGTAGCGGAGCTGTCGGTTTGAATGGACAGCAGACGCGACCTTGCTGACGAAAGTGCTGAAAGTGACAACGAAGGTTTTGCTGTGGTGCAAGCTCCCGCTGTGCACCGCTGGGAACGCTTGATCCGTTTACTCTATCGGATTAGGCGACTGCAAAGGATTTGGGGCCTCCTGGGCCAGCATCTCCAGACTTTCGTCCAAAGCAGCGAGTTCCGCCGTCGGCTGGCTAATCGTTTGCGATGAGCAGCCAGGAACAGCAACAGGCGCAAGTGACTGCAGCGCAAGTGATGCAGGAGCTTGTGAATCTGAGAAACGAACTCACAAGGCAACGCGAAGAGAATGATCGGCTAAGGGCCGAGCAAAGCACAGCACTTGAGCGAGTGCGGCAAGAGAGTGCAGCTCAAGTTGCGGAAGTGCGAGCACAAGCGCATACGGCAGTGCAGCAGGCGACGGCTCAGATGGGCACAATGCCACAGTTGGTGAGCGACATGGTCAAGTCGAACAAGGAACTGGTTGAGGCCATGGCAAAGAAAGGAGGACCAAACGAGAAGCTTTGTTTGGTCGACACAAAGGGCCTGGGAAAGCCGACGACCTTCTCAGGTGAGAGTGAACAGTTCCTACCATGGAGGCATCGAATGTCGAGCTACGTTTGTTCGATCCACCATGATCTGCAAGAAGTTCTAGAGTGGCTCGAAGAGAGGGAGAAGCCATTCTCCTCGGAGGAGTTGGACACAGCCTTTGGAGAAAAGGCGTTGGCACGACCTTGCTTGCTCCTTTTCCTTTGCCTTTCTCCACATACGACAGGTCCATAGGATCATCCTTGCTCGCCGCACTGGCTGCGGCTGCAGAAATCACCTTCAGACTCTTTCCTGTCTTGTACTCGATGAAGCGAGTCACCTCGTCGAGCACGTCGTCGTACGTGGAGAACCGGCTCTGGTTCAACTGGATGTGAGACTCCAGCTCCTGTGGCAACATTGCCTCCAGTGCTGCCATCTTTATCTCATCAGCCAGGGTCGTTCGTCGCCCTGTGCTGTCCTTGCGCTTCTCGTAAGTGCGCACAGCGTCGGCCCATTCTTCGATGGCCTGAGGGAGATTCTCCAGCTTCTGCTTCTGGGGCGATATAATCGCTCTCAACATCGTGCGCTTCCTGCTTGCAGTCGCAGGATCGTATCGCCTCGTAAGGCGTCTCCATGCCTCGAACCCGTTGTTCTGGCAATTGCACACGATCGTAAATGGTTCCTTCGAGGTAACCATTTGGAGCGCGTTCGCGAGCTCCCTCGACTTTTCTTGCAGTCTGGGAACTCGATCCTGTAAGCTTGGCATACTTTGTAGATGGGGGGTTATAGGGTTGAGGGTATATCTGTCCCTTTTCCAGTTTAAGAGGTTCATGTTTTGGAACATGGGCTTCGTTTTCAAGCGGATAGGGTTTAGGGTTTATATAGGGTTCAGCGTTTAAAGGGTTTAGGGACTAGGTGCATAGTCACTTCTCTAACTTTGGGACTAACTTTGGGACACCCCAGGTGTCGCTGGGTCCTTCTTGGAAAAATTCTAAACCCTAAACCCTAAACCCTAAACCCTGAAACCTGAACCGCAAACCCTAAACCCTAAACCCTAAACCCTAAACCCTAAACCCTAAACCCTAAACCCTAAACCCTAAACCCTAAACCCTAAACGGCGGAGCCACAACTGCGGCAGGAGCGGACACTATGCCCGCGACTGCTGGAGCAATGGAGGCAAAGGTTCGCAGCAGCAACGGGGCTCACCCAAAGGTCCAGGGCAACAAGGAGGAAAACCAAGCAGCAAAGGAGGAAGAGGGAGCCCCAAAGGAGGAAAGGACAAAGGAAAAGGTAAGAAAGGAAAAGGCAAAAAGGGAAAAGGCAAGAAAGGTGGCAAGAACAAGAAACACGTAGGAAACATAGAAGAAGGAGGAGAGAACACAGGAGAAGGAAACCAGGACGAGAACTGGCAGGAAGGAGAAGAGGATGAAGGCTGGGAAGACGGAGACTGGGGAGAAACCTGGGAGGACGGTTGGGAGGAAGCAGAAACAAACAACCTCTACGTGGGAGCGTTAGAAAGAGAGAGCCCGAAGAGAGAGAAAGAGAAGAAGAAGAAAGAGTCGAAGCCAGACCCCGGCAGTCGTGGCTCAAGTAGGGAAGAGGGCTCCGGCCCGACCGTGCTTGGGGCCATGGCGCCAAAGAACCCGAAAAGGAAGGTTCCTCCAAAGGAGGAAAAAGACGAGGATGAAAAGGAGCTGGAAGCTCTGGAAGAGCAAATGGACAGAGCAAGGGGTCAGTTCCAAGACCTGAAGGAAAAGGTGGAACTTGCGAGGAGACGTCGCCAGGAAAGACTTCTTCAGGAAGCGGAAGAGCTGGCAGAAGCCAGGAGACGTTCCCGCGGCGAGGTGCCAGGGCAGTCCAGCTTCGGAGCGTTTTCGTCTTCGTCGCGAGGACCTCCGGAGAGAGTGCGCGAGCCAAAGGCCGGAAAGAAAGAGGAGAAGAAGGAGGTGAGGTCTAAGGCTTTGGACACGGCACCCTGGAAGCGCGTTTCGCGCTACCGGGAGCCACCAGTGCCTGAGCCCAAGACCCCTCCAAAGGCGAAGCAAGAGAGGCCGAGAACACCGCCGAAGTCACCACCGCCTTCCAGGACCAAAAGTCCGCTTCTCAAGCCGAAGGTAGAGCCAAAGAGAACAGAACCAAAGTCACCACCTTCGAAGCCAAAGGTAGAGCCGAAGAGAACAGAACCAAAGTCACCACCTTCGAAGCCTCCACCTAGAAGTGAAGAAGTGCAGCCAAGAAGCGAAGAGGTGGAGAGACAACTTGCTACCACAGCGCCGAAGTGGGGAGCCTCAAGGAGCCAAAGACCTGTGGCGAAGGCAAAGCCAAAGCTTCTAAGGAGTCCGGCGTCTTGGGCAGGAATGCGCTTCAGGGAACGTGTGGCCCACCAAGATGCCATACGAGACAAGAAGCCCAGAGGCACCGTCGGGGAGTCCTTACTGAAGAAGCAAGGCGAGGCCTGCTCCACCTGCGTGTCGAGGCGACTGAAGTTCAGGAGCAAAGCGTCCCTTCTGCTGAAGAAGAGGATGAAAGAGTACAAGGCAGCAGCTGCAAAAGCAGCGGGCTCCCACTACGCCAGGAAAGTTTTCGAAAGAGAAAAGCTTGTGAGGGCCGACAGGCCCAGCAAGGCTGAACTGAGGAGCGCAAAGGTCGCCGAGAAGGTGAAGCAAAGGGAGGAAGAAGCCGCTGGTGAAGAAGAAGAAGAAGACAAGTTTTCCTTGGAGCCGGAGAGCTCCGAGGACGAAAGCGACTTCGAGGATGACCCTCCAAGCGAGGGGCCCGAGGAACCCAAGAAGGAAGAAAAGAAGAAGCCACCAAAGCAGGAAGAAGGAACCGAAAAAGCAACCGCGATCACGGCAAGCACCTCGAGCAGCATGCAGAGGATGCTAGCGTCGGGTCTTATGGAGACCAACCGTGCGAACCTCGCGGTCTTGGACCAGAGGATCGCGACAAAGAGAGAGAAGCTCGAGGGACGCGGCAGTGACCCAGAGCTGGAAGCCGAGATCGCGAGCCTGGAAGACGAGCGGAAGCGCCTGAAAGAGGAGCGTGAGCGCCTCAGGGCGCAGCAAGCGGGCGTGAAGAAAAAGGAACCCGAACACCGCAGAGACCAGTCGGTGCACGACGTGCGCTACAAACGCCAAGTGGAAAAGGGAGACAGCCACTGGAAGGCTTGGCGTGCGGAAAAGGGACGAAGGAGAGCGCAAGAGCACAGACGCAGCGGTGTGGGCGAAAGAGCAAAGGAGAGGATCGAGGCCGACAAGAAGTGGCACGCCCGGCACGACGTGAAAGTGAAAAGGGGCGACTTCCGCGATAACCAGAAGGAAGAGGTCGACGGCATCGACACAGAGGTTATCCACAGCGATGGGACGGAGGCCAAGCCCGAGCGGCGAAAGGACTACCGCCCCCTCACGAAAGCCGAAAGGACGAGCCACCGCGTGGATGCCGACGACGAGGAGGAGCTCTACCGGAAGGAGCTCGAAAAGCAGGAAAGGCCGAAGGCGACCGGGCGCTACTCGGCGGACCCGTCGATTGCGGCCGAGCAGAAGAAGAAGAGGAACCAAAAGAGAAACCAAAGGCGCAACAAGCTGAAGAGGAAGCTTGGGTCGACCTGGGATCCAGAGCACAAAGGAAAGAAGAAGGTCAAGAAAAGCGAAGACGACGACGAAGAGACTGTGCACTGTGAAGACTACGACGACCGCCGTGACCCAAGAGGAGAAGACCCGGAGGACCCGGGCGAAGGAGGCGTGCACCAATCGGTGCACAGCTTCGAGACCGTGGATGCTGCCAGCCTGGGCGCTTCGCCAGGCGTGGCTAGCGTCGAGGTCAACTTTGACACGGGAGCGGCCGTGACCGTTCTGCCTGAGAAGTACGTGACGCAGCCAAAGGACAACGGCGTCCGCTACAAGACGGCGTCAGGTGAGGCGCTGAAAGACCAAGGAAAAGCCGAGGTCACCCGGCACTTTGTCGGGAGGCCGTGGGGCCACGATCGCCGGCCGAGGCGCCGGGGTCCACCGCATACTCCTGTCAGGAGCACAGGCGTGCAAGACGCATTTTGCGTTTCTGCACGGAACAGGAGGCTTGCTGGTCCCAAAAGGAACTGCTTTCGCTAAGGAGGCCGACGAGGCGTTGCGCCAGTTGGCTTGGAAGCACAAGGGTGTCGGAACCAAGATGCAAGTGAAGAACGGCATCTACGTGTTTCCTCTGCAAGACGAGAAGAAAGGAGTGAAGGGCGGAAGCAAGGGCCAAGACGGCCTGGGTTTCACGGGGCGTCCGTAGACGGTGTAAGGCCCAACGGGCTTAGCGTTTCACCCCTAGACGAAGAGGCTGAGATGGTTGAGGAAGCGGCCAAAAGGAAAGCCGCCGGGAAGGCAACGCTCAAGGTGTTAGCCAAGGAAGACAAGAAGAGAGAGAGAGAGAGAGAGAGAGAGAGAGAGAGAGAGAGAGAGAGAGAGAGCGAGAGAAGAAAGAGAGGAAAACGACACAACAAGGAGCAAGCGCAAGCATACAAGTGCCAGCAGCAGCGCCAGCAGCACAACAGCAACAACAGCAGCAGCAGCCAAGCGAGGAAAAAGGAGGCACTGAAGACGACCGCTTTGCCGAGGAGCCGGAGGCTCCAGGCGAAGAACAACAGAGGGCGATAGTGCCGAAGAGCCCAGACCAGCCAACGGCTGACCAGATCGCACAGCACGAAGCCTCGGGGCACGCGGTGCACCGTTCCTGGTGCGTCCACTGCCAGAGAGCACGAAAGATGGTGAATCCACATTACCGGATTCGGAGAGCCGAACTTGAGACATCTTTGCCGACGCTACACATGGACTACTTCTTCCTGGGCAAAGAAAAGCAGGAAGACGACGTGATGCCGCACCTGGTGGTTCGGTGCGACAAAACGCAGCGCACTTGGGCAACTTCGTTGCCCGAGAAAGGCACGCATGCGTACAACGTCACGTGGTTGGCCAGCGTGATACGCGAGGCCGGATGGAAGAGGATGTGTTTATTCTCAGATAATGAACACGCCCTCCGTGCGCTCAAACTCAAGGCCTCCGAAGAAGTCCAAAATGTAGTGTTCGACTTGAGAGAGAGTCCTACAAGTACGGAGCACGAGAATGCGCCATCGAACGGCATAGCCGAGGCCGCAGTGAGAGAGGTGAAGCGAATGGTCCGAGCTATCCTGTCGGAGCTGGAGACAAAGCTTAAGATCGAGGTGGGCGTGGACCACCCGATTCTCGCCTGGATCGCGAGGCATGCAGCGTTCTTGATGACACGTTTTCGCATTGGCGAAGACGGGAAGTCAGCTTACGAAAGGACGCTGGGCCGACCGTGGAGGCGACCTACCATTGTCTTTGGCGAACAGGTGATGTTCAAGCCAGTTGGTTCGAGACACAAGCGAGGAAGCCTAGATGCAAGAGTTTGCATGGGACGTTACGTCGGAACTGCGTCGAGGAACGCAGACTTGCTGATCATGACGTCCGAGGGTATATCCCGGGGCCACTCCTTGCACAGGAGGCCCGAGGATGAGAAATGGCCTGTTGAAGGTTTCGACGTGCTACGCGGATTGCCTTGGAGGATGTCCGGTCCACAAGAGCGAGCGTCGCCCAACCGAGTCGGTATGCCCGCTCTCGAAGGCGAACAACCCGCGCCACAACACCGAGACTTCAAGGCACGCAACCTGTACGTCATGAAGTCCGACATTGAGCTGTACGGCTACACGCCTCAGTGTCCGGGATGCGATGCGCAGCTGATGGGTCTCCCGCAGCGAGCGCACAATGACGAGTGCAGGATGAGAGTGCAGAGAAGACTGCAAGAAACTGACGAGGGAAAAGAAAGAGTGAAAAGGGCCCAAGAGCGAGTTGAAAAGGACTACGGAAAGCGGGTCAAAAGAGACCAACCCGCGCTGGAAGGAAGACCTGCCCCCGACGCAATGGATGTTGCAGCAGAGGAAGCGGCAGGCGCACCTTTGTCCAGACCAATGGCGGTCGAGGACCGCGCCGAGCCGAAACAGCGGAAGCGCGCAGCATCCAAGGACGTCGAGGACCTTTACCAGGAAGAGCCCAGCACGAGGGCTACCGATGGTCCAGATGTCGAGGTCATTGGAGTACACGTGCAAGGGGGAGCAAGTGGCTCTGCAGGACCCGGCCTGGACCACTCACACCAACAAGCACGAGCAGATGCAGAAATGTACGACACAGCAACGGCGAATCCGCCACCAGCCAACGAGGAAGTGCGAATGAACCTGATTACGCGGATGTTCGAACAAAAGGGGCTCAAGTGCAGCCCGACCGAAGCGAAGGCCATAAACTCTATGGTTCTACAGTTGGGAGGTAATGGCAATTCAGCTGTGCCCTGGAGCATGGTGAATGAAGGCATTATCTTGCCAATGGACCAAGAGCCGCCGATGTTCGCTCAGGCTGAGCATTTGCGTTTCTTCGAAAAGCTGGAACAAGTGAAGCCAAAGCTTCTGGTGGGCAAGCTGCCCACTGGACCCTTCCAGTCAGTACAACGTGCTTTCGACATGACCAACAAGATTGGAGTCGAGACCAAACGCGGAAATTTGAGGAAGGCCCGATCTCAACTGGGGCTTTGCTTTGAGGCCTTCGAGGCACAGAAGGAAGCCGGAAACTACTTCCTCTATGAGTGCCCAAGGGGAACTAAGTCCTGGGAGCATGAACTTGCTCAAAGGATGGGTTCGTACTTGGTTGAAGGCCCAATGTGCAAGTGGAAAGTTGACGAAAGTGGAAAAATGATTGCAGGCCAATCCGGCAAGAAGCGAACCCGCTGGATTACTAATTCGGCGACGGTTGCAACAGCGCTGGAAAAGCTATGCAAGGGCAATGCGAAGGTGTGGAACCGAACGCTAAGCTTCAAGGAGGGGATCGTGACGGCCAAGGCCGAGTATCCTCCGAAGCTTGAAAGAGCACTACTGGCAGGAGTGCGAGCACAACTGGTTCTGGATGGAGAAATGAAGGAGGTGGGCCATGTGGGTGGACCTGACCCACACGAGGAGCCACCGCTCGAAGAGTATCTCCATGACACCTTACCCAAGGCTGGGCAGCTTCACGTAAGCGAGCCCGTCATAGACGCAAACACAGGGGCACAACTTGATGCCAAAAAGGTTGCGGAAGCAAGAGCGTCAGAACTTGCCTGGGTGAAAAAGCAAGGTGTGTACGAGAAAGTCGAAGAGAGCGTGTGTTGGGACGAAACAGGTCGTCCGCCCATAACCTTGAAGTGGGTAGACCGCAACAAAGGGGATGATGTTCGGGAAAACTACCGCAGTCGTTTGGTAGTCCGCGAGGTCAAGTCACAGGGACAAGCGGCGTTGATACCAGACTACGCGCTGTTTTCCTCAATGCCACCTCTGGAAGGATTGAAGATCCTATGCAGTCTGCTGACGACACTCAAGAGGTCAAAGAGCGGAAAGAAGCTCACGCTGAAGCTGACAGACATATCACGTGCACACTTCTATGGAAAAGCAGAACGACGTGTGTTTGTCACACTTCCCGAGGGAGATGAAGCTCCCGGCTTTTGTGGTCTGTTGAAACGGACCATGTATGGCACCCGTGATGCCTCAGCTGTATGGCAGAGATCGTACACAAGCCTGTTACGCAAGCACGGGTTTGTCGTGGGAAAAGCATATCCGTGTACCTTTTATCATGCCGAAGCCGACGTGAGATTATTGGTGCATGGGGATGATTTCCTAGTCTTGGCAGACGAAGATGGACATCGCTTTGTAGACAAAGTACTGTCTGAAGAGTACGAGTTCAAGTGTGATGGCCACATAGGACCTGAGTGCGAAAAGGACAGCATGACTGTCCTGAACCGGGTCGTGAGCTATGACAGCCAGACAGGAACTGTTACGTACGAAGCGGATCCAAGGCACGCGGAAGCCCTAGTGCGCGACCTTGGACTGGAGTCTGCGAAGGCGGCCAAAACGCCAGCAGAAAAGAAAAAGGGAAGTGACCTGAAAGCGATGCTTGAAGCACAGCCGTTGAATGCCGAACTTCAGAAAGCATATCGGTCTCATACGATGAGGGCAGCGTTCCTTGCGCAGGACCGTCCAGACATTGCCGAGGCTACGAAGAGCTTAGCACGGCACATGAAAGAACCCACAGAGTGGGCATGGGCCGATCTGAAGAGGCTTGTCCGCTACTTACGCGGAAAACCACGGCTGATCTACGAGTACCACCCGCAACGGTTCAGCAAAGAGATTGTGATGTACTGCGACTCAGACCACGCTGGTTGCCTCATCACGCGGAGGTCAACCACGGGACTAGTGACAATGCTTGGATCGCACTGCGTGAAACACTCAAGCAACGTGCAAAGCACGATCTCCCTCTCGAGTGGAGAGAGCGAGTTTTACGCTATAGTTCGAGCAGGGTCAATAGGTCTGTCGCTACAGGCGATGCTAGAAGACTGGGGATTAAAGGTCGGTCTGCGGATTCGATCTGATTCCTCGGCGGCCCGAGGCACTACCCAGCGCCAGGGCCTGGGTCAAGCACGCCACGTGCAAACCAAGATACTTGTGGGTGCAAGAGAAAGTCGCCACGCGAGCTCTGGAGCTAGAGCGTGTAGGCACGGAGAAGAACTACTCCGACATCTGCACCAAACCAATGCCCGAAGTGGCAATGCTCAAACACCTCAAGAACATGGGATTGCGTTTTCATGTTGGACGAGCCGGAGCAGCCAAACGGCTCGTGTGAAGCCAATGGGTCAAATGACCACCTGGCTTAGGAGGGGTGTTTAGATTTGTAGGTGTCACACAACATGTTTCACAATGAGTGAGCATACACATACGACATTGGCTCAAGCCGTCAAAAGTGATTGCACCTGCAGTGTTAGTTCTGCCTTAAACTCCGTTCAGGAGGCCGAATTCGATGCTTCGGAACACCTTTCGTAGCAAGGTGTTTTGGAGGCACGCGGCTTCTATAGAACCATATTTCCTAAACCCTCAGTAGCCCTAAACCCTAAACCCTAAACCCCTACACCCTGTCTCGTTTGCTCGTTTGCAAAGTGTTGTTTGTTAGTTTGACATTATATGTTTTTATTTATGTTTGAATCTAGACCAACACCAATGGGTGATGATACATCGAGAAGCAGCAATTCTTTGTGAGTGTGACTCTTGTGATAGTACTTTTGACAGTACTACTCTATGACCAACCTTATCATTTCCAACTGCAGCAAGAGTATCCATATTCATACTTTTTTTCAAATCACATAAATCATTGGTTTTGAGTAAAAATAAAGATTTAGAAACCCAAAACGCCACACCCCACACCCCACACCCCACACCCCACACCCCACACCCCACACCCCAAACCCCAAACCCCAAACCCCAAACCCCAAACCCCAAACCCCAAACCCCAGACCCCAGATCCCAGACCCCAAACCCCAAACCCCAAACCCCAAACCACAAACCAACACTGCAACACACGGGCTCATAACTCACAGCCAACTAAAGAGAGTTTAGGGTTTCGGGTTTATAGGATTTGGGGTTTAGGGTTTAGAGTTTATAGGGTTTAGGGTTTATGGTTTAGGGCGCCCTAAACCCTAAACCCTAATCCCTAAACCCTAAACCGTAAACCCTAAACCCTAAACCCTAAACCCTAAACCCTAAACCCTAAACCCTAAACCCTAAACCCTAAACCCTAAACGGCTCTAGGTTCAAAAACCCCAAAGCTAGGGTGCGTGGCCCGGCTTCATGATCTCCTGTTTAGGGCTTAAGGTTCTCAAGTATGTTCCCCTGTGTTGCATAGGGTATATAAGGGGTGTATATAAGGCCCCTTTTAAGGGTTCCTTGGGGCATAGAAGGGGTGTGTATAAGGCCCCTTTTAAGGGTCCATATGAAGGGACCATGTAGCCACCCTAAGACAGGCGACTTTAGGAGGTGGATCGGGGACCTTGGGGGTGTCTAGAGCCTCACTTCCTGGCCTTCCAAACAGGGCCCTCAACCCTGGCCTAAGAATTCAAACCTCCTTTGTGTAGGTTACTCCTATAAACCCCCTTGTAGAAATCTTGGGAACCTGCAAAACGCAGGCTGGGGGTTCCTCAGCCTTCAAAGCCCCAACGCCTCAGGTATCAAAAGGCCCCGCCCCCCATCGCCAAAGCCCCACACCGCTGAACCCTTAAAACCCCTACTTGATCCTCTGAACCCTGCGTCCGAAACCCTTCAAGACAAAATGAACAGAAAGTGTACGTGGTATCATTCTGAATGTTCCGCGTGGTTTGTCTAAGCAAGCTGGGCACCGCAACAAGCCCCGGCATGTGGTATCATCCTGAGCTTTCCTAGCTATTGTCTAAGCAAGCTGGGCACCGCAACAAGCCTCGTCACCAAGCCTCGTCACCAAGCCCCGTCACCAACAACGGTTCAAAAGTCGTAGTTTGAGACGGAAAACGTACTTCAACCTCTGTAATAGCGCTCTAATCCCTATGCATCATCATCACCATCATCGCAGGGATAGTCAGGAGTCAAAATACCAAGCATAAAAGCGACAATAGTTCCCGCAGAACGCTCCGAATCGAATGGAAGCCTCCAGTTACTTGACATGCTTGGTCGGGAGGTCGTAGCTGACATGAAAATCTCAAGGCCATGAACGCGGTGGGGCGTAGCAGGGCGTTTCAGCGTCTAAGAGTGCAGGGTAGTGCTCATCAAACACGCTCCCCCTCGACCTTAAAGGAAGCCCAATCCTGGTCGGGTGCAGGTTTGGGGTATAAGGTTTAGGGTTTAGGGTTTAGGGTTTAGGGTTTAGGGTTTAGGGGTTTTTAGGGTCTAAGGTTTTAGGGGTACCGTGCCAGTTGATGCACTTGTTCCTTTTAGGCCCCTGATTTTGTTGGAGGATGTTTAACCCCGACCTGCCGTAAAACACTCCTCCATGCAGGCAGACGGTCTCCAGAACCGCGAGGGATAATCTCGCTGATGAGGGTTGACGCCCTCAACTTTTAGATGCCCCTGCAGCCGCGATATATGGTCACTTCTCTAAACGATGGTCCCTTTTTGGGGTTACGATTCTAACGCAGCCCCTCATATTTCGGGTACCCGAAAGGGACCATCATATTGAGAACTCACCATATGCTGCAAGTCCGTTTTCGTGACTTTTTCGTCCCAGGCAGCGTTTTAGGTCCTTCAAGCCTGGCGACGGACCCTCTTGAGTCTTACAGTAGGCTTTAGGAAATAGCGTCCTTTGTTCCAGGCTAGGGTTTCAGGGTGTAGGCTACAACCCCAATGCGTACCCAAAAGTCATGACATCCGAAACTCAGAAGAACCACCCTAAACCTAAACCCTAAACCCTCAACCCTACCCTAAACCCTAAACCCACTAGGGCAGAAATTATGGTGGAGGTCCAACGTTCGAACCTTGAGGCTTCGCCTTCGTCGACTTTGTGGGGGTTCGTGGGGTTAGGGTTTAGGGTTTAAGGTTTGGGTTTATGGTTTAGGGTTTAGGGTTTAGGGGTCTCAGGCAGGTTCGCAGCAAAGTCGAACCTCAACAGTGGCGGAGTTTTGTCTGTCAGTAAAGTCTGTATAAACCCTAGTGCTTCTGCACAAGCTGACACAATTTCCCTTGGTGTCTTGCTCGATTTGGCCCAACACAGGTCAGAAAAAAGATTCAGGATAGTTTCCACAGACAGTTGCTCGCAAACTTCCGTGGAAACGTTCTTATTGGTGCGGCTAATTCAGGGAAAGCATCCTATTGAAGTGTTATTGCTCTTTTGGTGTGTGCAAGACACATATGTGTGTATATATATATATGTACATACACATACATACATGCTTACATACATACATACATACATACATACATACATACATACATACATACATACATATCTATATGTGTACATATAGATATATATATATATATATATTTATTTATTTATTGCATGTTCCACATATATACATATGTATCTAACTATATGTGTATATATATATGACTACTATGCAACATCATGAACGCAAACTCGGATGGGGCTTTGGGCACGAAACTCGATAGAGGCACAGAACCGCATCGATTGTTCACTCATCGTTTTACCTTGCCCCAGTGTGGTCTAAGCGAAGTGAAGCAGGGTTCATATTGCTGTTTTTGGTGAGTGGATATAAGGTTCCTTTTTTTGTATTGGCGAGTGTGTTTTTTGGGTGTCCTTCTGGGGATACAAGGAATATAAACCCTGCTTTGTGAACTGTTCATCGAACACCCCAACATGGTTCGCTGACCTTCGTTGTTCGCCCATCTCTGTGCTTATTCAGCTTTATCAGTGGCCACATACATACATATCTACATATACATATATATATATAGACATGCAGGATGCCGCATGTAAGCAGCCACCCTCGCAAGCTTAGTGTGAATAGTCGCATCATGCGTTTGCCGCCCGAATGTTATTTCATCGCACCATTCGTGGTCGAACGTTCGACCCTCGAAGTCTCCAGGGTCGTTTATTTGACCCTCTAAGCCCCACTGAAGCCCTCCCTATTCCTTTCAAGGTTTGGCTTGTTTATGGGATTTGGTCCAGATAGGGTTTAGGGTTTAGGGTGGAGGGTTTAGGGTTTAGTGTTCAGGGCTTAGGGTCCAACGTAGTGCCCTACGTCGATGTCCCGACAGCATGGAGGGTTGTGCCAGGCTCTGCTTTGACAGGATCAAAATGCTGACCTCCTGGGCCTCGTAATGCTTCGCACTGTGTGCACGCATCTGATGTCGCCGCGACGTATGCAGCGGATGGGAACGTATTGCACTCCGACAGCTTGATCTTAGGTCCTAGGCTCAGGGATGAGACCCCAAACCCTAAATAAACCAGGGGTTATTTTACACTAATAGTTTCAACCCTTTAGGGTTTAGGGTTTAGGGTTAAGGGTTTAGGGTTTAGGGTTTAGGGTGGCCATCGCAACAAAGATGGCGATGCCGAAAAGTCTGGAGTTTTCTGACGAACCTACGTAGCATTTCCGTTTGCACACTGTAGTCGCGCGCTATGCCCTTAGAAACCTAAAGCCCTAAACCCTAAACTCGAAACCCTAACCCAAGCTGTGGGCACTTGTTCGGGGGACAGGGTTTGGGGTTAGGGTTTCGGGTTCAGGGCAATTTATTTAGGATCTAGGGTTGACTCTAACGGATTTCTGAAACGAAAGTTACATGGTCCCTAAATATATTCCTTTACCTTCTTTAAAGGAACCTTTCTGGAGTACGGGCCTTCGGCTGGGGTAGAAACGGGGTATATAGCGGTTCCGGTTCCCCATTAAAGGGCCCATAGAAAAGGGACATTAGGAAAATGTTGTAATATAGTAATTTACTAACATGCTAATATGCTAACATATCCATATAACAACATAATCCTATACCCTTCAAAAAAGGAATCTAATATTGTAATAATGTAGAAATGAAAATGTAAAAATGTAAAAATGTAAAAATGTAATAATGTAATAATGTAATAATGTAATAGTGTAATAATGTGATAATGTAATAATGTAATAATGTAATAATGTAATAATGTAATAATGTAATATTGTAATAATGTAATAATGTAATAATGTAATAATGTAATAATGTAATAATGTAATAATGTAACAATGTAGTAATGTAATACTGTAATCATGTAACAATGTAATAATGAATAATGTAATAATGTATTACTGTGAAATAGATTAATGTAATCATTTAATCATGGAATTCTGTAATAATGTAAAAATGCAATCAGGCAATTATATATTCCTAATATATTCCTTGGACAATAATGAATTCCAGTGTTTAGGATTTAGGAG